AGTATTTTATTTAGAATTTTCTACATCTGGCTGGGTGTGGTGGCTCACGCCTGTAATCCCAGCACTTTGGGAGGTCAAAGTGGGTGGATCACTTGAGGTCAGGAGTTCAAAACAAGCCTGGGAAACATGATGAAACCCTGTCTTTACTGCAAATACAAAATATTAGCTGGGCGTGGTGGTGTGCACCTATAATCCCAGCTGCTCGGGAGGGTGAGGCAGGAGAATCACCTGAACCCAGAGGCGGAGGTTGCAGCGAGCCGAGATTGTGCTACTGCACTCCAGCCTGGGTGACGAGTGAGATTCCATCTCAAAAAAAAATTTTTTTTTTCTACATCTATGTTAATTAGTGAGATTGGTCTGTAATTTTCTTTCCTTAAACTGCCCATGCCCATTTTGATATCAGTTATTTTAAACATGAAAAACAAATTGCTTATTGCTATGGTTTAAATGTAGGTGCCCCTTCTAAACTCGTATGTTGGAACCTAATACTCACTGTGATAGTATTAAGAGGAGGGGCCTTTTGGAAGTGATTAAGTCATGAAAGATCTTCCTTCATGAATGAATTAGCGCTCTTATAAAAGAGGATGATGGAAGCATCCTAGTGCTTTTTTTGCCCTTCCACCATGTGAGGACACAGTGTTCATTTCATCTCTTTTTGCCTTGTCAGGACACAGCATTCACCTTTTATTTGTGCCCTTCTCAAAGATGCAGCAAGAGGACACCATTTGAAGCAGGGAGCAGCCCTCACTGGACTCTGAACCTGCTGGTGCTTTGGTCTTGGACTTATAAGCCCCTATAACTATGAGAAATCCACTTCTATTCTTTGTAAATTACCCAGTCTCAGGTGCTCTGTTGTGGTAGCATAAACCGACTAAGACACTTATCTTTTTCTATTTCTTTATTCCATGAAAAAATTGATATAAAATAGAGATCACCTGTTCTTTACAAGTTTGATCAAATTTTAAATCCTTTGGGTCTAATGTTTTTGCGGATAGGATTTGGCTTATTCAGGCTTGCTGAGTGATCTTGACTGCATTTTGATAAATTTTACCAAACTTAACATTGCTAAAATTAATTTAACATAGCTAAAATTTTTTATATTCATATTTTGTTAATTGATCCAATAATGTCCTAAAGGTGTGTGTTTTTTTCCCCTTCAGTACAGAATCCAGTTTAGGGTCATATATTACATTTGGTTTTCATGTCTCCTTAGTCTCCTTTAATCTGGAATATTTCATAGCCTTTGGTTTTATATGGCATTGACATTTTTGAAAAATACTGGAATACTCTCACCCTACCTACCACCTTTTTGTTTTTAAAGAAAGATTAATGCTCATTTTGCATTTGTCTGATGTTTCCTTATGAACATATTCAGATTATACATTCTCTACCTGGCCATGTGATCCTGGCAGGTTAGATACCCTCTTTGAGCCTCAATTTCCCTATCTGTAATTATAAAAAGTATGGGATTAAATGATGATTAAAATCCCTTCCTAGGATTCTATCTAGGATTCATTTTTTATATAACACTGACCCTCTAATTTTTTTTTCTTCTAAAAAGAAAACAATGGATTAAACAAATTAAAAAAAAAAAACCCTAAATAGCCACAGTCAATTTGAGATTCATTTATTTAACAGATAGTTATTGTTCACACATTGGCCAGGCTCTTTTGACTAGATGGTGCAAAAAACCAACTATGACTGAATTGAGCTATAATAAGCCTAGAGGTAAGATTAGCTTCAGGCAAAGCTGGATGCAGGCACTCAGCAATGTCACATGGAATCTGCACCTCTCCCTTTCTTCATCCTGCTTTCCTCTCTGTTGGCCTCATCCTCCAGTAGGCCTTTCTACATTATGGCAAGAAATTGCCAGTTGCTCCAGGCTTCCAAACAACTGGCTCAGAAACCACAGCGGAAAGACTGCTCTGGCTTTCCAACAAAAATCCTAAGGCAGGATCTCATTGACGAGGATTGGGTAATATGTGCATGCCTGAACCAATCACTGTGAATGGGGTGGGGTAGAATTGTCTGGATGGGGTTCTGGGTCATGTCTCCATTTCCAAAACCAGGAGACAGTGTCTGCTCTGGATTGTGTATCAGTCAGGGGAGCAGAGTTACTGTGAGCCTCTAGGATAAGAGATTTACTACAGGGACTAGACCTCCCATAATTGAGAGGAGTGAGAAAGTGAAGCCCAGAAGAGGACTTAAAGGATAAAAGTCACCACATTGAGAAACCAAGCACATCCAACTGCAGATGTGACTGCAAAAAAGTGATGGATAGGTCTATGGGAAGCAGTTGTCTTTGAGTCTACAGCCAAGAATCTGGCCATGAGCCTAAGCTCACATTTGGTAATCAGGGCCAGAAGTTAGGAAAGAGAGCTGGAAGCAGCATAGTGCAGAGCAGTTATGAAAACAATCACAATCCAGTTCAATAAGTGTTTAATAAGAGAAATCGCAAGGCACAATGGGCGCCCCAAGGGGTTACAGAATCCAGCCTAGACACCAAGGAAGGCCTTTTGGAGGAGACAACATTTGAGATGAGGCCTGAAGGATGAAGAGAGAGCCAGAGGAAATGGGAGAGAAATTAGCAAATGCAGAGGCCTAGAAGTGAGATAGGGTATTCGAGAACTAAAAGTAGCTTGGTCTGGCTGGAATCTAAGTATGAAGTAGAAAGCGTCACTAGTGATGCCAGGGGGCCAGCAGGAGCCAGATATTACAGGCCCATAAGTGAGGAGTTTGGACTCTGTCCTAAGAGCAATGGGGAGCCATGGTAGGATGTAAAGCAAGGGAGAGGTAAGTATCATCGGTAGATGTTGGCACATTGGAGATGGGAGGATCTGCTGAACACATTTCCCTCCCAGGAAAAGTCCAGACACCTCAGCTGTAATGCTGATCCCTGTACCTTCAAGGGTTTGCTAGCTTTAGTTTCCTTCTCAGAAGGTAATCTGAGGAATATGGCACTGGGAATGTGATGGCATTCATTATATTTTCAACTGCAAGTGACAGTGTGTCTGACAGCGGCTTAAGCAAAGAAGAAATATCATCTTTTATAGCAAAACATCTGAAGGTGGGCATCTAGGGGCTCAGTGTGTCCAAGAATCCAGGCCCTTCTCATCTTTCTGCTCTGGGATCTCCGGCAGTAGTTGACTTTGTCTTTAAACTCATTGCCCAAAACAGTGGCTGCAGTGCCACACATCATTTGGTCACAGGGCACTGACAAAAACAGGAAGGAAAAGGTGGGATAAAAGGCTTTTACCTCATGACTCTATCTTAATAATAATAATAATAATAATAAACAGGTTTCCCTTGACCTCTCATTGGCTAAGAGCTGGATCATGTGCCCACCCTGGACCAATCACTGCTGAAGGGAAAGGAATTACTGCTCCTACTTAAGACAGATAATTATTGATTTTCTAGGGGCTTTCTAATCCTTGTGTTGGTACATAAGTAATCGTGGATTTTGCCATTAAAAGTACTAATATGTTTATAGTCATTCAGCAAGAAGTATTTAGAATTTCCATCATGACTTACTCTTTATTTCATAAGTTGTTTAGAAGTACATTTTGAAATTTCTAAGCTTGTTAGGTTTTATGTGGCTACCTGTTTATTGCTGGTTTCTAATTTAAATAACCCGTCAGAGAACATAAACTTTATGATTTTTTTTCTTTCACATTCCTTTGATTTAGAATTATCTCTCTGGAAAATGGTCTGTGTATGATTGAAAAAAATTTGTTATCTGTTTTGAGCAAAGTTTTATATATTAAATCAAACATAATTTATTAAAAGTTTCTATATCCCTTCTATTTTTTTGTCTATTTGATCTATACCAGTTTCTTATAGAGTTGTATGAAAATCTCAAACTATGATTGTGAATTTGTCCATTTCTTATTTTTGCTGGATGAAAAAAAATCCAATCTGTAATTTTTGTTTTTAGAAGAATTAATCTACTTACATCTACTATGAGTACTGATAACATTTCAATTTAGTTAAACATCTCATTTTGCAGTTTTTGGTTGTCATCATTTTCTTTGCTCTCATTGCTTTTAAATTAAAATGCATTTTTTTCATTATCATACTTTAAGTTCTGGGCTACATGTGCAGAATGTGCAGGTTTGTTACGTAGGTATACATGTGCCATGGTGGCTTGCTGCACCCATCAACCCATCATCTACATTAGGTATTTCTCCTAATGCTATCCCTCCCCAGCCCCACCCACCCCCACCCACCACCTGACAGGCCCAAGTGTGTGATGTTGCCCTCCCTGTGTCCATGTGTTCTCATTGTTCAATTCTCACTTATGAGTGAGAACATGTGGTATTTGGTTTTCTGTTTCTGTGTTAGTTTCCTGAGAATGATGGTTCCCTTCAAAGGACATGAACTCATCCTTTTTTATGGCTGCGTAGTATTCCATGGTATTTATGTGCCAGATTTTCTTTATCCAGTCTATCATTGGTGGGCATTTGGGTTGGTTCCAAGTCTTTGCTATTGTGAACAAGGCTGCAATAAACATACATGTGCATGTGTCTTTATAGTAGAATGATTTATAATGCTTTGAGTATATACCCAGTAATGGGATTGCTGGGTCAAATGGTATTTCTGGTTCTAGATCCTTGAGGAATCACCACACTGTCTTCCACAGTGGTTGAACTAATTTACACTCCCACTAACAGTGTAAAAGTGTTCCTATTTCTCCACATCCTCTCCAGCATCTGTTATTTCCTGACTTTTTAATGATCACCATTCTAACAGGTGTGAGATGGCATCTCATTATGGTTTTGATTTGCATTTCTCTAATGACCAGTGATGATGAGCTTTTTTCATGTGTCTGTTGGCTGCATAAATGTCGTCTTTTGAGAAGTGTCTGTTCATATCCTTTGCCCACTTTGTGATGGGATTGTTTTTTCTTGTAAATTTAAGTTTCTTGTAGATTGTGGATATTAGCCCTTTGTCAGATGGATAGATTGCAAAAATTTTCTCCCATTCTGTAGGTTGCCTGTTCATTTTTTTTTTTTCCCTGTCAAGCTGTTCTTTATTTCAGGGAGAAGCCAGGGGAGGGGCTCAGTCTTTCTTGGCAGCAGCTTTCCTCATAGCAGCCAGGCCAATACGTTGCTCAGCTCCTCCCGCTTCCTCTTGGCGCGGATGTACGTCCCCATCCTTTTCTTGATAAACTTGAGGGCCCCTTTGTCCTTCAGTAACTCCATGGCGCGCCGCTCGAACGGGGCAAAGCCACACACCTCCCGAATCATGTCCCGCACGAACTTGGTGTGTTTCGTCAGACGCCCGCGGCGGCGGCTGTGCCTGGGCTTGCTCACGTTCTTGGTCACCTTGTGGCCCTTGTTGAGGCCCACGGCCATAGGGTAGCGTAGAGCCATGGCTGCGGACAGCGGCGGGGAGAAGGGGCGGAGGTGAGTACAGGCTCGGTTCCCAAGGCCCAGAGACCCGCGTCCCGGCTTCTTCAGCCTCGCTGGCCACAACCAACCATCCTCCTTGCCTGTTCATTTGGATAATAGTTTCTTTTGCTCTGCAGAAGCTCTTTAGTTTAATTAGATCCCATTTGTCAATTTTCGCTCTTGTTGCCATTGCTTCTGGTGTTTTAGCCATCTTTGCCCATGCCTATGTCCTGAATGGTATTGCCTACGTTTTCTTCTAGGGTTTTTATGGTTTTAGGTCTTACATTTAAGTCATTAATCCATCTTGAGTGAATTTTTGTATAAGGTGTAAGGAAGGGGTCCAGTTTGTTTTCTGCCTATGGCTAGCCAGTTTTCCCAACACTATTTATTAAATAGGGAATCCTTTCCCCATTGCTTGTTTTTGTCAGGTTTGTCAAAGATCAGATGGTTGTAGATGTGTGGTGTGATTTCCGAAGCCCCTATTCTGTTCTGTTTTGGTACCAGTACCATGCTGTTTTGGTTACTGTAGCCTTGTAACATAGTTTGAAGTCAGGTAGTGTGATGCCTCCAGCTTTGTGGTTTTTGCTTAGCATTGTCTTGGCTATATGGGTTGTTTTTTTGGTTCCATATGAAATTTAAAGTAGATTTTTCCAGTTCTGTGGAGAAAGTCAGTGGTAGCTTGATGGGGATAGCATTGAATCTATAAATTAATTTGGGCAGTATGGCCATTTTCACGATATTGATTCTTCCTATCCATGAGCATGGAATGTTTTTCCATTTGTTTGTGTCCTCTTATTTCCTTGACCAGTAGTTTGTAGTTCTCCTTGAAGGTGTCCTTCACTTCTCTTGTTAGCTGTATTGCTAGGTATTTTATTGTCTGTGTAGTGATTGTGAATGGGAGAGTTCACGCATGATTTGGCTGTTTGTCTATTATTGGTGTATAGGAATGCTTGTGATTTTTGCACACTGATTTTTTATCCCAAGACTTTGCTGTAGTTGCTTATCAGCTTAAGAATTGGGACTGAGACGACGGGGTTTTCTAAATATACAATCATGTTATCTGCAAACAGAGACAATTTGACTTCCTCTTTTCCTATTTGAATACCCTTTATTTCTTTCTCTTGCCTGATTGCCCTGGCCAGAACGTCCAATACTACATTGAATAGGAGTGGTGAGAGAGGGTGACATCCTTGTTTAGTACCAGTTTTCAACGGGAATGTTTCCAGCTTTTGCCCATTCAGTATGATATTGGCTGTGGGTTTGTCATAAATAGCTCTTATTATTTTGAGAGAAATTCTATCAGTACCTAGTTTATTGAGAGTTTTTAGCATTAAGAGGTGTTGAATTTTATTGGAGGCCTTTTCTGCATCTATTGAGGTAATTGTGTGGTGTTTGTCATTTGTTCTGTTTATGTGATGGATTACATTTATTGATTTGTATATGTTGAACCAGCCTTGCATCCCAGAGATGAAGCTGACTTGATTGTGGTGGATAAGCTTTTTGATGTGGTGCTGGATTCGGTTTGCCAGTATTTTATTCAGGATTTTTGCATCAATGTTTAGCCAGGGATATTGGCCTGAAATTTCCTTTTTTTGTTGTGTCTTTGCTAGGTTTTGGTATCAGGATGATGCTGGCCTCATAAATTGAGTTAGGGAGGAGTCCTTTTTTTATTGTTTGGTATAGTTTCAGAAGAAATGATATCAGCTCCTCTTTGTACGTCTGGTAGAATTTGGCTGTGAATCCGTCTGGTCCTGGGCTTTCTTTGGTTTGGTTTCTATTAATTACTGCCTCAATTTCAGAACTTGTTATTGGTCTATTGAGGGATTTGACTTCTTCTTGGTTTAGTCTTGGGAGAGTGTATGTGTCCAGGAATTTATCTATTTCTTCTTGATTTTCTAGTTTATTTGTGTAGAGGTGTTTATAGTATTCTCTGATGGTAGTTTGTATTTCTGTGGGATCAGTGGTGATATCCCCTTTATCATTTTTTATTGTATGTATTTGATTTTTCTTTCATTTCTTATTAGTCTGGCTAGTAGTCTATTTTGTTAATCTTTTCAAAAAAACAGTTCTTGGATTCATTGATTTTTTGAAGGTTTTTTTGTGTTTCTATCTCCAGTTCTGCTCTGATCTTAGTTATTTCTTGTCTTCTGCTGGCTTTTGAATTTGTTTGCCTTGCCTCTCTCATGTTTTTAATTGTGATGTTAGGGTGTCGATTTTAGATCTTTCCCACTTTCTTCTGTGGGCATTTAGTGCTATAAATGTCCCTCTAAACACTGCTTTAGTTGTGTCCCAGAGATTCTGGTACATTGTGTCTTTGTTCCCATTGGTTTCAAAGAACTTCTTTATTTCTACCTTAATTTCGTTATTTACCCAGTGGTCATTCAGGAGCAGGTTGTTCAGTTTCCATGTAGTTGTTCAGTTCAAGTGAGTTTCTTAATGCTGAGTTCTAATTTGATTGCATTGTGGTCTGAGAGACTGTTAGGATTCTTTTGCATTTGCTGAGGAGTGTTTTACTTTCAATTATGTGGTCAATTTTAGAATAAGTGTGATGTGGTACTGAGAGGAATGTATATTCTGTTGATTTGGGGTGGAGAGTTCTGTAGATGTCTATTAGGACTGCTTCGTCCAGAGTTGAGTTCAAGTCCTGAGTATCCTTGTTAATTTTCTGTCTTGTTGATCTGTCTAATATTGATGGTGGGGTGTTAAAGTCTCCCATTATTATTGTGTGGGAGTCCAAGTCTCTTTGTAGGTCTCTAAGAACTTGATTTATAAATCTGAGTGCTCCTGTATTGGGTGCATATATATTTAGGATAATTAATCCTTCTTGTTGCATTGATTCCTTTACCATTATGTAATACCCTTCTTTTTTTTGGTCTTTGTTGGTTTAAAGTCTGTTTTATCAGAGACTAGGATTGCAATCCTGCTTTTTTTTTTTTTTTTTTTTTTGCTTTCCGTATGCTTGGTAAGTATTCCTCCATCCCTTTAGTTTGAGCCTATGTGTGTCTTTGCATGTGAGATGGGTGTCCTGAATATGGCACACCAATGGGTCTTGACTCTTTATCCAATTTGCCAGTCTGTGTCTCTTAATTGGGGCATTTAACACATTTACGTTTAAGGTTAATATTGTTATATGTGAATTTGATCCTGTCATGATGTTAGCTAGTTATTTTGCCCATTAGTTGATGCAGTTTCTTCATAGTGTCAATGGTCTTTACAATTTGGTATGTTTTTGCAGTGGCTGCTACTGGTTTTTTCTTTACATATTTAGTGCTTCCTTCAGGAGCTCTTGTAAGGCAGGCTTGGTGGTGACAAAATCTCTCATCATTTGCTTGTCTGTAAAGGATTTTATTTTTCCTTTGCTTATGAAGCTTAGTTTGGCTGGATATGAAATTCTGGGTTGAAAAAGCTTTTCTTTAAGAATATTGAATATTAGCCCCCACTCTCTTCTGGCTTGTAGGGTTTTTGTAAAGAGATCCGCTGTTAGTCCAATGGACTTCTCTTTGTGGGTAACCGGACCTTTCTCTCTGATTGCCCTTAATATTTTTTCCTTCATTTCAACCTTGGTGAGTCTGACAATTATGTGTCTTGGCTTGTCTTGCTAGGTTGGAGAAGATCTCCTGGAAAACATCCTGAAGAGTGTTTTCCAACTTGGTTCCATTCTCCCCATCACTTTCAGGTATACCAATCAAATGTAGGTTTGGTCTTTTCACATAGTCCCATATTTCTTGGAGGTTTTGTTCATTCCTTTCCATTCTTTTTTTCTCTAATCTTGTCTTCATTCTTTATTTCATTAAGTTTATCTTCAATCTCTGATATCCTTTCTTCTGCTTGATTGATTCAGCTATTGATAGTCGTGTATGCTTCACGAAGTTCTCATGCTGTGTTTTTCAGCTCCATTAGGTCATTTATGTTCTTCTCTAAACTGGTTGTTCTAGTTAGCCATTCCTCCAACCCTTTTTCAAGATTGTTAGCTTCCTCGCATTGCATTATAACATGCTCCTTTAGCTCGGAGGTGTTTGTTATTACCCACCTTCTGAAGCCTACTTCTGTCAATTCATCAAACTGATTCTCCATCCAGTTTTGTTCCCTTGCTGGTGAGGACTTGTGATCCTTTGGAGGAGAAGAGGAATTTGGGTTTTTGGAATTTTCAGGCTTTTTGTGCTGTTTTTTTCTCATCTTCATGGATTTATCTGCCTTTGGGTCTTTGATGTTAGTGACCTTCAGATGGGGTTTCTGTGCGGACTCTTTTTGGTTGATGTTGATGCTGTTCCTTTCTGTTTGTTAGTTTTCTTTCTAATATCAGGCCTGTCTGCTGGAGTTTGCTGGAGGTCCACTCCAGACCCTGTTTGCCTGGGTATCACCAGCAGAGCTGCAGAACAGCAAAGATTGCTGCCTGCTCCTTCCTCTGGAAGCTTCATCCCAGAGGGGCGCCCACCAGATGCCAGCCAGAGCTCTCCTGTATGAGGTGTCTCCCAATCAGGAAGCACAGGGGTCAGGGACCCACTTGAGGAGGCAGTCTGTCTCTTAGCACAGACCTCGAGTGCTGTGCTGGGAGATCTGCTGCTCTCTTCAGAGCTGGCAGGCAGGAACATTTAAGTCTGCTGAAGCTGTGCCTACAGCTACCCCTACCCCCAGGTGCTCTGTCCCAGGGAGATGGGAGTTTTATCTATAAGCCTGACTGGGGCTGCTGACTTTCTTTCAGAGATGCCCCACCCGAATCTAGAGAGGCAGTCTGGCTACAGAGGCTTTGAGGTGCTGCAGTGGGCTCTGCCCAGTTCGAACTTCCTGGTGGCTTTGTTTACACTGTGAGGGGAAAACCACCTACTGAAGCCTCAGTAATGGTGGACTCCCCTCTCCCAACCAAGCTGGAGTGTACCAGGTTGACTTCAGACTGCAGTGCTCTCAGCAAGAATTTCAAGCCAGTGAATCTTAGCTTACTGGGCTCCATGGGGGTGGGATCTGCTGAATTAGACCACTCGGCTCCCTGGCTTCAGCCCCCTTTTCAGGGAAGTGAATGGTTCTATCTTGCTGGTGTTCCAGGCACCACTGGGATATGAAAAAAAACCCCAAAAACCTCCTACAGCTAGCTCGG